GCTGTTCTTCAAAACGAGTCGAGACCATCAAGTTTCAAGTTATAGTGTTGCTAAGCTCACTTTCTTATTGCTGTTCTTCAAAACGAGTCGAGGCCATCAAGTTTCAAGTTATAGTGTTGCTAAGCTCACTCTCTTATTGCTGTTCTTCATAAAGTGTCGAGACCATCAAGTTTCAAGTTATAGTGTTGCTAAGCTCACTCTCTTGTCGCTGTTCTTCATAAAGTGTCGAGACCATCAAGTTTCAAGTTATAGTGTTGCTAAGCTCACTCTCTTGTCGCTGTTCTTCAAAACGAGTCGAGACCATCAAGTTTCAAGTTATAGTGTTGCTAAGCTCACTCTCTTGTTGCTGTTCTTCAGAATGTATTACTAGGTGGATGACGGTTAGGTGAAAGTATACATACATACATGGGAAAGTAAAGAAGTTAATATAGTAACCGTTACTAGGAAGATGAAGGTTTAGAGCAGGTATGTAATGGGAAATAGTTATGTTGATGATTTAAGTAGGTAGTGATTAGCAGTGTTGGTCAGTAGATGTATAGATTACCACGTGTATATATATATAGGTTACCACATGTATGTATAGGTCACCACGTGTATCTATTAGTTACCACATGTATGTATAGGTCACCACGTGTATCTGTTAGTTACCACATGTATGTATAGGTCTCCACGTATATCGATAGGTTAACACATATATGTATAGGTCACCACGTGTATCTGTTAGTTACCACATGTATGTATAGGTCACCACGTATATCGATAAGTTACCACATATATGTATAGGTCACCACGTATATCGATAAGTTACCACATATATGTATAGGTCACCACGTATATCGATAGGTTAACACATATATGTATAGGTCACCACGTATATCGATAGGTTAACACATGTATGTATAGGTCACCACGTGTATCGATAGGTTAACACATGTATGTATAGGTCACCACATGTATCTATAGGTCTTGTTTAATTCTCAAGTTTACTCCAATTCAAGTATTATTCAGTCTATACGAGACATAACCAGAAGTCCAAGCTTAAACGTTGCAACCGTAAATGTCCCCCAAATAGCCGTCAGTAAGTACCACTGGAATTTGCTAATTCAACCATTTTTATTTGACTTTGGTGTTTTTTTTTTATGAAAAACAATCAAGATACGTTAGAAAACTCTGACATGGAGTATTTATAAAATTCGGGAGATTTTTGCTTTTCTAAATAAACCGCCTCGGAAGATTTGGTGGGGAGGTCAAATCCTGCCTCATTTGGTAGATATAACTGTTTGTTTGTTTGTTTGTTTTGGAATTTCGCGCAAAGCTACACGAGGGCTATCTGCGCTAGCCGTCCCTAATTTAGCAGTGTAAGACTAGAGGGAAGGCAGCTAGTCATCACCACCCACCGCCAACTCTTGGGCTACTCTTCTACTCTCTACTTCTGGGCTACGAATAGTGGGATTGGCCGTCACATTATAACGCCCCCACGGCTGAAAGGGCGAGCATGTTTTGGTGGGATGCGGATTCGAACACGCGACCCTCAGATTGTGAGTCGAGCGCCTTATCCACCTGGCCATGCCGGGCCAGATATAACTGATAAATATATAATAACTAAACACGTATAACTGACCAACATGGTGAATCAAAACATCGTCCAATTGCGAAACTTACAATTGCGTAAGCCGGTTCATGGCTTTAAGACGAATCACAGCCCTTCACCTAAACCTTCCTTTGAATGATTCATTCTTCCATTTAAACCTCCTTCTTCTTAAACGAATTATAATCCTCCATCAAAACTTTAATTATTTGGAGTGAATCAACTCTCCACCTAAACTCCTTTTTAAACGAATTACAATCCACCTAAACTCATCTTTAAACGAATTACAATCCACCTAAACTCCTTTTTAAACGAATTACAAACCACCTAAACTCATTTTTAAACGAATTACAATCCACCTAAACTCATTTTTAAACGAATTACAATCCACCTAAACTCAAGTAAAGGAGTATAAATATTCGATCAAACTTCGTCCACGTACTTAGAGATTTCAAATATTATACATGATAGACTAATTTTCTTCGGTAACCGTGGTAGTCTTGCATTCAAAGTTAGGACCTTGTCAAGGGAATGTAGATGGTGTTCGGGTCTCTGCAGGGAAACGGGAGAGTCCAGAGATTGAAGAAGCATGTCAGCTTATAAAGTTTGTATATAATGTACTTGATTGAGCTGAGAAGGTACTCCAAATAAGGTTTAGATGGAAAATTGTATTTCGCTTAAAAAAAGATTTAAATGGAGGACGGCAATTTGCCGAAAAGAAAGTTTTGACGGAGGATTGTAATTCGTTTAAAAATGGATGTCGCTTTATTCCTTGTTTGTTTAAAAGCCAGAGACTAAAGTAAATTGAACAAAGTAAGAACTTTTCCAATGTCTCCCATTTTTAAACAGAATAACGCATGGAACTCAAGGAAACACATCAAGATTTCCACATAATGCCTGAAATGTACAAGTTTTCTCCAGATTTTAAAATCCTCCACTTCGTAATGTTTTCGTCACAGAGAAAACAAACTTAACGATTTTTATGAAAAATGTAAATTGCCTTGACATCTAGCTTTTGGAGCTTGTTTTTCACTCTACAGTAAGAGGAGAATGAAAATAAATAAGATCTAACGTTTATAACTCCATCTATTCTACACAATGTTTAAAAGAAGCTTCAGTTTATTGCTTCGGATTATAAATACAACCCTAGGAAATGTACGATTGATTTCTTTCTTCGTTTATTTCAGATATCCACGAAAAGCTACACAATGGTTATCCAAAATGGCCGTCCCTAATTTTGAACTGAAAGACCGTAGAGACCACGAAACAACTCGTGAAGACTCATTCAATATTTCCCTGATTGTGAGACTTCTCATGTATCACCTTCCTTTACAGTACGACATTTGTTAATCTCAACTTTCCACAACGGAAAAAAAAAAACTGTTTAATCTTCCATTAAAATTTCGACAAATTAATAAAGAATAAGTGTTCTTATGAGAAATTCTCGGAATTACGAAAATACAATATTCAAAAATAAAAATGATATTAGTTGACGTAAAATCCAGAATATTTATTGGCGAATCATGAAAATTATTATTTGGTTTCAGATTGACACTAGCTTTCTGCAATAGGTTTAAACAGCAAGCATGATAATAGTGTTAACAAGTTAATTGTAGCAAGCTCAAAAACTATTGTTGAACCACTGTTTAAAAAAACAGTAACTGTAGCAGTCTATTAAATTATTGTTAAAAAAAATAAGCTAAATGTACCAGTTTGTTTAGCCACTATTGGAATTAAGATGTTAATTATTGAGCTACTGCTAAACAAAAATAGGGGGATGTTAACCATAGCAATCCGTTAAATCATTTTTAAAAAAATACCGTTAAAAATACTGCGAACTGTGACAGTTTTTCCAGACGCTGTATAATAAAACAAAATACTAACTGTAACTATCCGTTAAAAACCAAGTTAACGTTTAAAAATGTTTGTAGTTTTACTACCTGTTAAAAACCAACAGTTAACGTATAACAATGTTTATAGTTTTACTACCTGTTAAAAACCCAGTTAATGTATAACAATGTTTGTAGTTTTACTAACTGTTAAAAACCAACAGTTAACGTTTAACAATGTTTGTAGTTTCACTACCTGTTAAAAACCAACAGTTAACGTTTAACAATGTTTGTAGTTTCACTACCTGTTAAAAACCAACAGTTAACGTTTAACAATGTTTGTAGTTTCACTACCTGTTAAAAACCAACAGTTAACGTTTAACAATGTTTGTAGTTTCACTACCCGTTAAAAACCAACAGTTAATGTTTAACAATGTTTGTAGTTTTACTAACTGTTAAAAGCCCACAGTTAATGTATAACAATGTTTGTAGTTTTACTAACTATTAAAAACCCACAGTTAATGTATAACAATGTTTGTGGTTTTACTAACTGTTAAAAGCCTACAGTTAACGTTTAACAATATTTGTAGTTTTACTAACTGTTAAAACCAACAATTAACGTTTAACAATGTTTGTAGTTTTACTAACTGTTAAAACCAACAATTAACGTTTAACAATGTTTGTAGTTTTACTAACTGTTAAAAACCAACAATTAACGTTTAACAATGTTTGTAGTTTTACTAACTGTTAAAAACCAACAATTAACGTTTAACAATGTTTGTAGTTTTACTAACTGTTAAAAACCAACAATCAACGTTTAACAATGTTAAAAGTTCAACACCCCCTACTTTACACTCGAAAATGTTGATTAAAAATATAAATTTCTAATCACTCTTTAATTTGAAACAAAATGTTCCACAGATTGTATAAAATATGAGACCAAATTTTCATAACAATTAGATAACTTTCAAGTGTGCATCCTTTCAAACAATAATACTTCGGTTTATTGTAAATTGTTGTGATCGGTGTGTATACAATATTACATTTGTACTGACCTGTCGAAATACGAACAATCGGAAAATCGCAGATGTTGTTTACAGTATCGTACTACACTGGTAGAAATTACAAGAGCGACACCTATCGAAGCGTTACCGAAGTAATATTTATTAAATTTAATTATGGTGTTTTGAAATTTGCATAACTTGTTAATAATTAATATTGATGATACTGACAAATCTAAGCGAATTTAGGATCAGAATAATAAGAACATAAATTACTTCGAGATTGCTTTGAATATTAAATTTCAGTTTTGCGTCATAAAACTGCATTTTATAAAAGTATATTTTTGTAGCTGAAAAGATGATCGTTTTTGGCGATATCGTATGGAAGTTCGTAATAAGAAAATATGACCCATCTATGCAAGATGATGTTGTAAACCTTCGTTGATCTCTGAAATCATATAAATATTTTACGGAATGCGTCACGTACAAGAATACATGTTCTGATTACATTACTGGAGAGTTTTGTATTTCATACGCAGCAACCGTGATGGTCAGTTAACGTCACTGATAATACTTAAAGCAATATAAGGTCGTGACCCCATTCGGTTTCTACAACAAATTATTAATATTTATCTGATTATAAGAAAGTTCCATGTTACTAGTTAATATAAATTTGTCTTTCCAGGCATGATTTGTTTGTTTGAAGTTAAGCACAAAGGTACACAATGGGCTATCTGTCCTGTATCAACCACGGGTATCGAAACCCGGTTTCTAGTGTTATAAATCCGTAGACGTGCTGCTGTGCCACTGAGCATGAATTATTTTTAGGAGATTCGGACACCAAATCTTGATCTTCTAATACACACCCGCCAAATAAGAGAAATACTTACAACGTGTACAGTTTAAACTATTTTTTTAGTGGATAATTCTTGATTTTTCAAAACAAGTACAGTGAGAAGCGTTTATTATTTAAACATAAACGTAATCAGAGAAGTTTGGTTAACCTACAACCTTAAAACAAAACACACTTTATTTACTCGTAAAAACATGCACACACACAAACACACCCGAGTGCAAAAAAAACCGGGGAAAAGTCGTCTTTACATCTTTCACGCACTCTTCAAAGCAATATAGCTGTCACTGGTACTTTTTCTCTTCAGTGACAGCTAAGCCTAAATTCGTCATTTCAATGGACCGCACGAAAAACAGTAGTCAAATCTCTAAAGTTACAAATATATATATATATATATATATAGTTTCAAAGTAACTTATACAATGTTGAAATAACCGATTAAAAGTAGAGGTCGAACTTTATTAAACACACGTTTTACTTAATTTAAACAATCTGACACACATCATGACAACAATAATTATCCATTCAAATATGTATATCGAGGGATATTAAGTTTGGAGGGGGGGGGAGGTTGTTCAACGTTTACTTCCCATTCTCTTAGTGAAAATTTTAAATCAATTTCAGAAATATAAACTATACTTATAACCAATTACACAGAAACACACTTAATATAATATAACTAGTTTATCAATCTACTAACTTTCGTACATTCACCCTTCTCTTTAGGCCAGCCTTGAATTCCAAACAAACACATTTCACCTGTAACGTGTTAACACTAAATCAATAAAAGTTGTGCCTGACTACTAATAAAAAAATTAAGTGCAGATTTCACAATCTTTACTAACATATATAAAACACAGGAGCGTAACAGATACACCTTGGAAACACTACTAGAATACTACTAAGTTACCGGTATCCATCTCCAAGTCTTTTAAACTAGTGTTCAACTACTTCACAAAACACGAAAATGTAGAAACATCTTGACACGACTTACATTGTTCCATAAACACTGAAGGAACAACAGACGCTCAAATAATTTATGGTTAAAACTGAAAGAATATTAAAAGTCCAAATAAGAAAAAAAAAAACATTTGTGAATTATGCGTGAATAGTTATGCACAAAGTTTTTTGAAAAAGTGGCGTTTTTAAAGCTATCTCAATTTAGTAGACTTGATTTTAAATTAGTTCGCACCGTTACTGAAAATTCCAAAGCGGTTAGTAAACAAATACAGGCAACTGGCTTAACTTTATTGCAATTAGACACAAATGTATTCATAACTTGGATATTGAAGAAAAGATAACATGAAAATCCCAACTGGTCTATCACATACGCTGTACCCTCACAAACATTACTTATACTAATGCTATGGATTAAGTTACACAGAAATGATCCTTGAATAAACACTTATAAAGTCCAGTTTCGAGTTCCAGATTAATTTCCACAAACTACTACAGTGACAAACGCTGAATATAATTAAGAATACCTATTAATATCTCATTCCTTTCTGGTTGCTTAAGAAATTGATAACATCCTCCTACACTGTCAATGTTGTAAAGAACTTTCTAGAACAAGTTCTTCCCTAACACACATTTTCTAATATCACAATAGCATTGAACTTAAACACTATTTTACTATCTAACTCTCACTCCCAGCTTCAAAAACTCCAGTCAAATAACCCATGAATATAAATTTGAATAATGGCTAAAACTAAAGCTTCGAGTTTAACTGTGCACGTTCTTCATAAAAATGTTTACATGTAAATTATTATTTATACTTGTACTGTATTCTACCCAAAACCAAATGTGCAAATTAAAAAGACAAAATTGTATAAAAGTTTAGTTGATTTTACAAGCACAATGAATTACACAAACACCACTCTTCGCCCAAGAAATTCTGGGTTTCCTAAACTTTTATAACTAATCTAAATGGTGTTTTTTTTTAACATTTATGGAAATAACCAGATATACAACATACAGTGAACCTGTAATTCGTTACGTACAGATCTGATTACTTCGGCATAAAGTACAATATAAATGTTAACATGATTCTTATTTGTAAGCACTAACTTTCAAAACTGCTCGAGTGACCATAAGTGGATGCCACCTAGGCTGACGGATATGTTGTCAGGTTACTGGACACGTCAGATCATTTTACTGAAAGTTCTTTGTTGTAGATAAGATATCCTTAGATTTGATGGATGGGTCACACTTCTTAACTTCCAGCTTATTCTTTAAATTCCTATACACAGTTCTTGTGGCTTTCAGTTCAGTTTATTTCAGACTTGATACTACTTCCTCTGATTACTTTAACTGAGATTTGTTACTGGTGAACTAAAATCACTGGACTGTTCTGTAATTCAGCTTTCATTTGACACTGGTGATTGGTTAAGAAAATCTTTAGATCGCTTCCAAGTTTTCAGATTTTTAAACAGTACTTATGGTTTTCATTGAAAAAGAACCCGGAAATAATTTTCAAGCATTTCAACTAAGACATACATTGTGCTAGTCAGTTAATTTACCATCACAGGAGTGTTGTTTTGGGTCACCCACTGATATTCTTCTGTTGGCAAACTCTAATCTTCTGATTAAATAGTGGATTACTAGATGACTTAACTCTTTGAAGTTGTTCATAGACTCCATCTTAATCTAGCCTCTATGTCCGAAGTTGCTATAGTGCTTATAAATTCCATACAACTTAGTGATGTAGTGCCTTCTATACGTCATCTTGACAGTACCTCCACATCATGTTATTACAGCTCTCAGAATTGTTGCTTATCTAAACAGAGACAATTCTACATCTCACAAATTTCCAATTTTTCCAAAAACTCTCTAGAATCTCCTCAAAGCTTCACTGCCCTGTTCCTTCTCGCCATTGCTTCTGTTGTTCCAAAAGTCTCTCAAGAGGAGAAGGTCCTGGACCAGACCAGAGACTCTGGATCTGTGGTTGTACCATCAAACTTTCCATATTAGCACTGTTTGATCCTGTATAATTTCCATCTTTACCTGACTGGGACATATGAATCCCAGAAGGCCAAGGAGAGCTGAAGAGAGAGTAAGTGTTTCCACCTGGATCGGCAAGGGAACCAACCTGGTTTCCTCTTGTACCTGGATGATTGAATCTGTGTCCTGTCTGATGTGAAATATTTGGTGGTGGACCTCTCTGAATGTTACCTGACTGGGCACAATTCATACTCTGCAGAGGATGGCCTGGGTTCAATCTTGCTGAATGTTCATGGTTTGTTTGTTGATTCCAATTGAGTGGCCAGTCCGTGGTAGGGATTCCAAGTGAAGATGGAGGCATTACAACTGCCTGAGGAAGTTGAGAAGCTTGGTTTCGGGTAATGTTGGAGCTTACAGAATTTCCTGAAGTCTCTACTCTACCTAATCCACCACTTGTTCCTTGTATTCCTCCCATTGATGTAAAATAAGGAAAGTGCAAGTTTTCTTGGTGATGCTGCTGTACTTGGCCTGTTGGATTCATGACAACAAGATTAGCCTGCTGTTGGACAGCATTTGGAAGCACTACATGAGGTGCATTAGAAGATGGTAGAACAGAAGGCTGCTGCATCCCATTAGATTGAAGATAGTAATTCCACATGACTCCTGGGTTAGGCATATATGTCTGGACTGGGACAGTCTGGCTTCTCTCTGTGGATTGTTGATGAAGATACTGTTGAGGAGTAGAAAGCTGGTTTTTCTGAGTTTGAGGATGACCCTGTTGTGCACCAAGACTCATGTGACCAGGAGGAATAAGATGATGTAATGGAGCTTGTAATGCTGCCCCTACTGGTGGACCACCTAAAGCATGCTCTCCAGGATGAATGTTATGAGAATGTTGAGGGACAGGTGTACTTTCATTTTGTCCTCCATGCTTAAAAAGAAGCTCTTGAGCAGAACCAGTTTTATTGTCAACATCTGCCATCACTCTTGTGTGCTGGTCAGTAAAAGAAAAAGGTTGTGACATAATCTGAGCATTATTTCCTGCTATTTGTTGTCTTGCCACTAACTCTCCAAACTTGGCTGTAGGAGACATCATGACGGTTGACATACTTTCCTCAGAGTTCCTTTCAGCAGAAGATTGTAATGCTTGAGTGTCCAAATTTTGAAAAGCTCTTTGCTGAAGTATTGTCTGCATGGCAACATTCTGTCTACCTCCTCTTCTTTCTTTTTGTATCCCTTGTCCACCTTTAACAACCCCCATTTTTTTCTCTGTCTTCTCCATTGTGGGTTTAGCATGATGACCATCAGCTGGCTTTGATTCTTGTTCATCAAGTTTAAACCGTACTTCTTGTGTTGAGATATCAGGCTGATGTTTCGTCATGATTTTTGCCTTTGAATCTTTGATGGTTTCACTAGGGAAATCTCTTGAAACATCCAAGTTAGTTGGGCTAGATCTAGAAGATGTGCCTGGAATGTTAGATATATTCATCTCTTGTAATTCCTGAATTACTTCTTGAGATACTGTTTCAGTCTGATGAAGAGCTGAAAATGTACAACTTTTATCTTCTTCATTTTGGACAACAGTTATCTTTCCTTTGTCATCTTCACATAAAACCATGCCAATATCCTGTAGTCTTGTTATACGTAAAAACCTTTCCTCACTAGCTGTAAGAGTGCCACTATTCTTACTAAATTTCAAATTCTGATGTGTTTTTAGCATTGGTCCAAAGCCCTGAAGATCCCAATCTTCAGGTAAGGCTACATTCTGTAACTTGTTTTCGACCGAACTGTTGAGTATTACCACCTCAAGGCCGTTTAGAAGTTTACAAAAGCTGTGCCAAATTTGTGGTTTCCTTGTAAAGGATTCGTGCTTTAGAACACTAGGTTCTTGTAAAATCCACTGAAGGAGGACCTTAACAGCTGGCAGACTGCAGTAGTCCTGCATTTCTTCAGGTTTAACAACAGCATGAACAGGAAGCAAAAAAGCATGCAACATACTTGACATCATTTCTAAAACCAAAGCAGAAAACTTTTGTTCATCTTCAGGCAACTCTTGGATGATATCAAGTCGGTTTTTATCTTTATCTAACACATTTGAGTCCTTTTCTAAGAAACCCCAAGCATTTTCGACAGCAAACAGGTTAACAGCTGTCATCTCAATTAACTGCCAAGTTTCTAGTTTCTCAGCAATTATCAAGGGAGGCAATGCAGCTGTTAAGACCTGGAGAAGTTTTTCTGCTTTACTCAAATCCATCCCCAAGTGAACAAAAGCCTGAAACTGAAGAAAAGCAGTAATAAATTCATACACTGACATTCTTGTCTTTCCTTCATGTGTTTCTCCATCTCCTGCCATCTTGGAAAACAATTTCTGTAAATTTGTTGCAGCAGCTGGGAAAGGATGGCTGACAGCCAAACTCCTAATATAGAAGAATACAGTTGATAATTTATCTCCACTAGCAGCTTCCAGGATAGCCAGCTGGTTGTAAGGTTGTCCACTATTGGGTCCTACTTCAACAGCATGTTTATAATAAGTTTCTGCTTGTAGTGACTGACATCTGTATCTTGAAATGTCACCTAAGTGTACAAGACAGTGCTGACAAATATATAAAACTGATGACTTTGAGGGAATTGAACTGCTTTCAAACTTACATTTTAACTTTTTGTTTGATTCAAATGTCAAGTCCCTGGAAAAACACAGCAAATCAACATCAAATGCACAACACATCTTTTGTAACAGCTGAAAGTAAAATCCACTAGCGGTTTCCAGTAGCATTGTCAACTGGGCAAGAGTCTCCGAGCTGTTAATTTTTTTCTGAGTTTTAGCTTTGCTTTGAAGTGCTGATATTGGATTTCGAAACACACAATTCCATAGCTCTTGTTCCACTTTCTTATCAAGAGCATACTCAAGATCGTAGAGCAGCAGTTCCTCAAACAACTGTCCAAGTTTTTGTTGTTTTAGCCGAGACTCTCTGCTAAGTGGTGGAGCTTCTGTTAGTGAGGCTTTCAAGGCTTCGGCATCCTGCAGCAGCTGAGCAGACGGGACCTTCATTGTGAGTCTTTCGAGTTTCTAAGGTCTTCGGTCCACAATCCAACTGTACATAATTGCCTAAGCCTACAATAATAAAATAAAAACAGAATTTTTTAATAACATGCATCTGAAATGATAAATAACATATAAGTAACTATACATACACTTTTTTTACTAAACATAAGAATACCATTAAAGGTTACTGTACCCGCACTATGTTCTATGGACACCAAGTACTATACTTTACACACACTTCAAAAAAAAAGGCAAGGTGATGTAATTCTTACCTTTACAAAGCTTATCATCAGAGTAAAATAAATGAAAAAAATTGTGTGCTGTATCTAATTTTTTAAAACTTTATTTGAACTTTTACTTATCTTAATAAAACATAATAGTTCCAAAACTACAAATATGGTTGAAAATCAAAGAATGATTACAATAATCAAAGATACTCAACAAAAGTTGAATAATGACATTTGATTGTTCTTTAGTTATCTATATCTGCACTACCAACTTTTTTTATCTGACATAAACCAAGTATGGAAACTACATGCCTTTTTGTTTTAATTCCAAGGTTTTTCTTTTATAACACATTACAAAACTATTCAAAAGCCCAGTGTTTCTAGTTTGATTGTGTATACCATATCTGCTCCAAGAATGTTAGGCTTAAAATAAAATTCATGATTTCCCAGCCATAAATACTTGGAAAGCATTATACCATGTAATACAATCAAGTTATTTTAAAACACAAAAGATAACAATACTTAATTAAACATGTACTTCAATTGCATCTTCATGTAAACTGTAAGCCATAAAATACAACTGTAATGTAATATTACAACACACACACATCAATCAGAAAAAAAGCCTGTTGTTTTAAAACACAAACAAGTAATTTCTTTACTGAAACACATTATTATTTTTATTTTGAAGTAATAAAACTACATCAGAGGCAAAACATTTGACATGATTAGGGCTATCTTTATGGTCTAAAATTGTAAGCCATCATAAATATATAATGTCTAAGAAGTACAATTATAAATAACATTATAGTTTTGATAAATAGTGGTTCTGTATTAAGCTTCAAACATTTTATAAACCCAAGAGTGAAAGCAAATAAGAATATGTCAACCACATATCGATGGTTCAACAGAAAAGCTGGGATACAACAGATATAATAATGAACCAGGTACAGTAACTCGTGAAACAAAGTAAACCACACTAGATCTTCTATATCGATGGTTCATCAGAAAAGCTGGGATACAACAGATATAATAATGAACCAGGTACTGTAACTCGTGAAACAAAGTAAACCACACTAGATCTTCTATATCGATGGTTCAACAGAAAAGCTGGGATACAACAGATATAGTAATGAACCAGGTACTGTAACTCGTGAAACAAAGTAAACCACACTAGATCTTCTATATCGATGGTTCAACAGAAAAGCTGGGATACAACAGATATAGTAATGAACCAGGTACTGTAACTC